AAACCATTGATTCGGTTTCAAAATATTAAAAATATAATTATTATATCGTATATAACCGATGAGCAAGGATAGTTTCAACTTAAAGAGAACGTCGTGTACATTTTTAAAGTAAATAATTGATTTGTTTAAGCGTTATTTAATATTACTTTCACGAGAAATTCGCGTACATGGTTACGTCACGATAAATAATGATTACAAGTTACTAATTTCGTAAGTTTAGGTTAGGTTATCTCATGGAACTGATAGTGTGGGCGCTTGAGGAGGTTATCCTTTGAATCTTAACAAGTTATTTTTGACAATATTCATGGGGTCAGCTGTATACGTGCACTTAGCTTCTTAATACTCATCAGGTTATACCATACTTCAAAAAAAGGAAAACTGAGGGCCCTGAGAATTTGGCTTATTTGTGCACCTGGTCCTATGCTCAAATTGATAACGGATAAACTTATTTTACAACTGATTTTATTCAGTGATTCAGACAATCTAAATAAAGATCATGTCTGGATATTCATTAGGATTTAGATTTTAGGATGCATTTTGTGTATCTACATAAATTGTTTTATGTGTGAGACGATGACCACTACAATATTTTATATAAAGCGCTATGTAAATAATACAATGTATATACGAGATGAACTCTCGTGTTTGAATTACAATTATGCGTAATTCATTGGTTCGAAAATATCGACTTCACAAAAAATATAAATTAAACTTATTATTTGTTGAACTATTAGATCTGAATTTATCACTAACAGTGAATCTTCTATTTCTAGTGTTAAAGCCTAAGACTTAAGCAGTAATAGGTATTAAGGTCAAAATATTATATAGAATATTTTTTTAAAACTTACTTTTTTATTCTATTGTGCTTTTTATAATACATCAATAAAACCACCAACGCCCTATTGATTTTTGTTTATAGAATACTATATACATCAATGCAGTGTATATTGCATGTTTCCAGGCGTTTATTCTAGTTGTATAGAAATGGTTTATGTCGATTACATATTATTTGTTTACAACGTAAAATAGAAAAAATGTATAATCAAGAGCAGTATAATATTATAATAACAATATACATAATTAGGATCGACTAGGGGTGGATCTATACCAAAAATATGTTATAAAATATGGTTATATTCAAATATTCAACCTCCCCCCTCCTCTCACATACACTTGACGTTCGTGCCAGAACTGAAAATTTGCAGTAATTGATATTATTTATTATGGTTTTATTTGATATTTGATCGTTTTCAGGTTATTTTGTTATAACTAGGTATAGAACTCTGTGCTCCTCCACAAGCTTGCTTTTTGGAGACGTCGTTATTACTTCAGATCATATCGATATATTTAATAATTTATGTATGTAAAGTGAAAAATAAATAATTAATATTATAAGTCCGTTAAAATTTAATACACGAAATTTGATATCTAACATCTAAATATGATTATTCGTTGTCAAGAAGGTATATATTTCATAAAAAATTTAACTATTTTTCTGTATCCAAAATTCCAAAATTGTTTGCATATCCAATTTATGCAAAATATGTAAACTTAAATGTTAATAATTTTGGAATAATTATAGTGCATTGACTTTCTGTGTGTGACGTAAGCGCGGGTTAATGATTATAGATTTAAAGTATTTGAAATGAAATGATCAACCATCAAAGAATACTAAAAAATAAACTCGGTTGTTATTGATTTGTCTCATGCAATTCGTTAAAACAATATAATAATATGCTCTGTTGTCACTTGTCAATCATAGGTTTTTAATACGTCGTTTAAATTAATTTCTTGGTAGCCGTTAAAAATTTAAATATATAAAACCGTCAGACCAACAGTTTTAACGTTTAAGTTGTTATATGCTTGGTATATGTAAAAAACGTGGAGAGTAACCGGTTTATATATACTGCTATAAAAGCGGTTTAAAAATGTATAATCCATTGCCAATGCTGCCAGCGCTCACTTGCAATGTTTTCGTTGGTATTAAAATAGAATTTACGTAATTTTAAATTTTTTTCTTAAAAATAAATAAATTATCGTGCATAATAATGAACATTTATATTTCAGATAATAAATAATTCTTGAGTACTTTATGTTTAAGACTTTTATATTTTAATTTAACTTATAGGTATAATAATATTATAATTCAACTAATACATGATAACTGTGACGACTGGTACGTGAAACGAGTAGGGAAAAAATTGCATATCTTAAATTCTTCTGTATAAACACGTATATAATAGTACCCTGATATGGGAGTATGAACTACAAAATAATATAACGCTTTTACTGTCTTTTTTCATTAAAAATGTTTACGAACCCTGGTGGACACCAACACAGTCACTCCGATTTCTCGTAACGACATCATATAATATGATGCAGACTGCAGAGTATACGTTTCTTTTATCCAACACCCGTAAATAATGGCATAATCAAGTTGATTTTTCCAGTCGAAAAACGACGTGTATATAACGGGTGAAATCAATACTCGTATAGTCGTATCATGCAATATGTATTACAAAAAAAAATTATAATGTTACATCGAAAAACGTTGGCATTTCGATATATATATAATATTATTTGTTGTTTTATATGAGCCCGAGGGTGGTAATTTGTTTATCGGTTTTTTTAAGTAGTACCTATACCGGTAGTATGTACCCGTAAACAACCTACATTCATGAATTTCGTATTACGCGATTACTCGCACTTACAGTAGCCGAGTTAGGTTTGTCAAACCACTTCAGAGTGGACGTCATAGGCCATAGTCCGTGATGAAACATTTAGTTGAATTTGACGCTGGATACAATTTACAATCGCAATCCTTCGGGGCCCCAGTGGCGTGTCCAGCGCAAAATAATTGGGTAGGCCCATTTAGTTGTTTAGTTTGTTTACTCTACACCGAAAAGATTTTGCCTATAAAAAAATAGCATTATGGGTAGTACATTTTTAGGTGTTCAATTTTGACCATTATACTAGCTGTATTTAGGTTTATTTTTTTATTTAATAATAGGCACTTAAAAAGTAAATCATTTTTAACAATATTGATTAAATATGTACTAGGTAAATGGTACCTAGGTATAACATAATAGGAAATTTAACAGTCTTTATTCTTTATAGACATTTTAGAGAAAAACAAATTATTATTAATTTACAGAGTAGAGCAAATTATTTTCAACAATATTAACTAAATATTATGTACTGATGTGGAACTGGTGTGCTTGTGAAATTGTATTCTAGAAATGTTTTTGAAGGAGGTTCATTAGGTTGCTTGGATATTAAAAACCGTTTCATGTTCACTGTAAACTGTTTTCTTAAAAACTAGAAATAAAATTGTAAAACTTAACCACGATTTTTCATAAAATCTATCTAAAACTGTGATGCTATAAACAACTATTATTAGTTATTCACTTCTACACGCCGCGCCAAATCCGATATAGTAACAATGTATAGTGATAACAAAATATGTGATAATAATTTTGATATGATTGACCAATGGCAATATTATCTATAAACTATGTATATATATTTTAAGCCTTGAGTTGTGATAAAAAAAAAAGTAGTCAAATTAAATTGGGCAGGCCCGGGCCTAGTCGGCCTACCCTGTAAACACGCCACTGCGGGGCCCTCGTGTAGTCATTACCTATAAAATGATTTATTTACATTCTTCACCTTAACTACTTGTGGGGGAAGGGGATATATCACCTTTCGAGTGATTCGTTATATCTTGATTATAATATAATATTCTAATCGGTTTGAACTCAAAAATCGTCTGTACTCGTCGGTGAGTATGTGTTATGTTTATAACATGTCATATTCAGAATCGGACTATAATATAGGTCTTTTACGTCCCGTTGCTGGATATTGTGGCGAGATATGTATGTAGTTTCCTTTGTATAAATCGTTTGCGAATACGCGTTCAAAGAGTAGGAACATATATATTATCATGCTCGTTCCACCACGACCCTGTGGTCAGTTACATAATAATTACGGGTTCTAATCAAAACTCACCAACACTCTCGTGTTTGTCGTTTAGTCGTTACTATTGTGCGTCCCACCATACTTTGCTCTTGAATAGATAAAACTAATTTGTTTAGTACATTTGTATTTAGATAGATTTATTTTAATATAAAATAAAAAAATAAATCGTAGTCCTGCATGTACACAATTTTACTTATTTATCGTTATCACTTATCATTATCGCGTGTCCGTAAAGTTAACTACCATAGTCCGTGGAATATATGACATATATACATTGTATACCTTCTATATTATAGTTTATAATACTCTTCAAGGAATTCACGACGAGTTCGTTGTTGTTTTGTATGGGGCATCTTCGTTTTTTTTTTATCTCTAGAGTCTACGGTTTTCCGAAAGTTTTTTGTGGTGGCTATGGGATGGAGGGGACGAACGGCGATATTACGGGTATACTACCGCTGCAAGAAAGAACAATTATCGTCCAAGGAGAAGAAGAAGAACAACGATAGCAAGAGGACCCGAGACTGTGTAATAACAACATAGAAAACTGACGTAATACCCCCGTCGGTGGGTCGTGGCCGGCGGGTGCTCACATTATTATTGTTATTATTTCGTGATCGTCGTTAATGTCTGTTCGGGCGGAGCACGTAATGGACCATCGTCGCGTTGCCTCCGATGATGTCGTCGTCATTCGTCGTAGTAGCAGGCTGGCCAGCGCAGAGCGCAGGTATCTATAATATAATATCGTCGCCGTGCACGCGTCGTCGCGGCCGGGAAGTGGTGCCGCGGCACCGCATTCCTCGCTCCCGGGTCGGTCGCGGTGTAGGGCGGAGCGAGGTATAGCGAAAGACCTTGAATGCTCACGCAGACAACCTTCACGGCAGAACCGGACCCTGTGGTACGCGCGTTGTCCGGCGAGAGCGCGCGCGCAACCGCTCGAGCCCGGTGGTGGGGGATAACGGCAGCGCGCAGTCACTGACTCCAGCCGAATCCCCGCCCGGCGGTCGCTGCACATCTCCCCCGACGCGCCGCAGTCTTCCTTCCCCGGAGGAAATCTGGCGACACGCACTTACCTGCCTCTTATTTTTTACTTTTTCGTCACTATACCGTGTTATATATCCATTATCCATCACAACATTATATATAAATGTATGTTTTTCTTTCCTAGAATAATCCGTCAACATTCTCAAATTCATAACCTTTTGGCCGGCGGAGGAATCGGTGCCTCTCTCACAACCGTTAGAAAAATAAAAATCGAATTCGCACGATGTCGGCGATAACCGCAAAGGTTTGCGGCGTTTTCCCTAAAACTTGAAACACCATTACGCTCGATCTTCCGTTGTAGTGACTAGTGTGGGTCTGTAGTCTGTGTGTGCGTATTTTGTTTCTTACGTGTATACTGAAATATTTCGTACATAATAATAATATGATAGCCGAAAGCGGATTTTGTACAATACGTTAATACATTATTATAATTTATAATATCATTATTCAATATTGTGTGGTACGCGTTTACGAATGCGCGTGATACCGTCACACGCACGCGCAGTACTCCTTGTTCTTAAACGCAGTCACCGCCACCGTAGCCTCCTCGTAAGTCGTAACCACCGTCGTGTGTGTGAGCGCGCTCCCGCCGTGAACGTGTGCGTGTGTACGCGTACCTGTTGCTGTGCGCGCCGCATTCCGTAACCGCTCAGCCATCGGATCGGACGTCGGCTGTCGCCGTCACCACCATCGTGCGTTTAGGAAATTCAAAAAAAAACCGACGATTACGCCTCCGCCGTGTTTTTGAGTTTACATTTCGTTTTTATCGTTTGATTTTTTTTCCTGATCATATCTGCTCCGTCTCCTTCGGCGTATACACCTATTGGTACAACGAGTGCGTCCGTTTCCGTCGTTTGATCGTGCGCGACCGTAACCGTCGTTTTCGTGCTTATATTATATTTTTTATACATAAAAACCGTTTTCATCTTTGTATCCAAAATTGAGCGTTTGTGCGCGTCCGGTGTGTTTCTCGACCCCCGAGGATGCTATAACGGGTCGGAAACGTCTTGTAGCGTGGACATGGATCACAGGGAATACGGGGAACGCGTGTCGCCGCCGCTGCCTCAACAGCAGCAGCAGCAGCAGCAGCAACAACAACAACATCAACAACAGCACCAGCAGCATCAGCAGCAACATCAACAACAGCAACAACAACACCTGCAGCAGCAGCAACAACAACAACCGCTTCCGCCCCCCGCCAACCACACCGACCAGGTATATAACTTGCTCGACGTTTCCTCCACAGTCTCCATGAACGTCTCCCTTACGTGTATTTCTTGGTGTGTATACTGTGTTAAGGCGTATATATATATTATGAAAGCGTGGGGATGCTGTTATCCCGAGGACCGTGTTTGGGTCTCTGGATGGGTGTCTGCTGCTCGAGTCCAATTCGTCTCTTGTCTTAAGTTTTTTGTTACTGTCTATTATATTCATGTATACAAATTGTTGTTTGACGTTGTATTCTGACTGTATAGTAGGTACTATAATGTACTATAATTGTATCGATTTTCATTAATTGTGAATTCAGCTTAACGTGGCAGTTTTATTATAAAGTGGTTTCTAAAGTATAGATTTACAAAATTGATTGTAGCTCAGAATTTCTGTAGGTCATAAAAGTTAACTAAAATATATTACCATAATCTAACTTATTAAATGTTCTCGTTGGCCGTAAAATAATAATGACGAATATTTACTTGTTTATGTTTTACTTTTAACGACAAAATAATGATTGCATCATATCATAATATAACTGTAGACTGCAGTATTATTATTACTACGTGCCATATTTTATTGGATATAATTGAGCCTAGGAGAACGGGATGACGTACACAACTGTGATTTACGTTCCTTCTGTATAGAACCCGAACGTCAAGTGAAGTAATGTTGGCGATAATATACTACTTATGTGTAGTATAATATTATGCGTACAGGTGCTTTTGAATGTTATATACGATTGTACGACCTAATCGTTGAGGTGATATCTTAAATTCGACCGAATCCTAGTAACGCCCCGTCCGAACACGTTATAATAATATACCTATACGTGTGGATAACACGTATATTATACACCTGTTGTCGGCCGTCGATAGGCCCGAGGGTAGTAAATTAATTACACCCCGTCGAAAAAGTATATACGAACAGGTTTATACTGTACATAAAGAAGACTTTATCGTATATCATTGTGTTGGTATTTCTATATTATTATTCGTTCACTGGCCACTGCAGAGCACTCGAATCTGTGCGGCTCTCGGGAGAATTATACCTTTGTGTGTATGTATCTATCCTGTCGATTGGGGTCGCGTTATAACTTATAATACATGTTGCAGGGGTGAGCTCGTACGCGCGTGATTTATATAATCGATCGTTTTCGTGGATAATATACGCGATATTTCACGCGTGGTAAGGACAAATTTCTTGGAATCTGTCCTAATCGTATGCGTAATGCACTCAGTATGTTCGCGCTGATCGACGTACACACGATAGCCGATAGGTACACGATTTCTTTGGCACCAAGTCAACGTCGCCGTCGTGTACATTGTATATAATATTATATAATGACGTGTATCCACAATATACTTAAAACCACATAGATAAATATACTTACATCGCAAAATTGAAATGGACGATATCGCCTCTTTCAATGTACATATTTTTATACTCATAGCGGCATGCTGTTAAAAATCTTCGACGTATAAATATTATACAATTTTGTCGTATATAAGTACATTGAATATGCGTTCCGAGTTTTGACACATAATGGCCTTCTATAGTGTTCCCCCCACCCCCACCCCGAAACTACTCAGAACATTATACTTGTACTAGCAAACAATCTGTGTATTTCCCGAGCCGAAATTAATTTACGCCTGCGGTGATGGACGTCTTTGTTTCAACAATAGTATAATTTATATTATATGAAATTATTGTGTAGTTTCTAGAACTCCGAACACGGATAATTATTATTTACCTATTTAAGCTGCTATATTAGACTGTTGGTGCATCGTTATTGTTGATTAAAATAAAATAATGGACAGTGATAAATGATACTATGAAATTATTGTTAAATAGATAGTTTGATGACAATTTATTTCTACGGTTTACTAAATAAAATCGTACGAATTCACCACGTGTTTTCCAAATCACACGTATACTTGGTATTCAGTACAATTTTTACGTTGGTATTGATAACGTTGTCATTAGGAGAATACGTTTTCATTGCACCTGAATATGCTTAAAATGTAGAATTCTTTATCGTAGATGGAGATGTATAGATAGCCAGATAGGCAGTTTGGTCGGTATTGTTGAGATTGTTGTTCCCTGACGAAAAAAAGATTAGGCGTCCGTATTTTTTTTCTTGATTTTACCTGCGCCCAAGACCGCCTCGCCTTTTTGTCGCGTCGCTATAGTCAATATTATATTGTAATAATAATATGCCTGCCTTCGCCGTTATCGTGATCAGTGGTCCGAATAACAATATGGCACCGTCGTCAGTTCTGTATATGTATCGGACCTCACGGTTTTTCGGTATATCGATAATGGGTGATATATATATATATATATATATTAAATATTTGCTATTCGCAATAGAAATACATAGGATATACTATTAAATATATATATGTAATCTTCTAGGCGGCAATATAAATAAAAATATCAAACCACTGACGATAGCTTTTATGTATATAGTATCTATTATTATATCAACAATTTCACGTCGTGGAAACGCACACAAAATATGTCGCCTTGTACATAATGATGTATATAAATATTCAATATATATATATATATTATGTTTGAAATTGTGGTCGTCCGGCGTTCAGTGAAAGAAGCGACTAGTCGACGGGGGATAATAGACCAGTTTTATATTTACGTGCTTACAACCTGTTGCGGGGCATGCGAACTATCCAATTCCCCGCAGCATTGGTCGACGAATCTGGTTGGTACTGCTATTTTATAACCGATTTTTCAAACAATGTTAATACTCTATAATACCTGCTACGTTTCTCGCAAACGTTCGTTCTTCTTCAGATTCACAGTTTATTTTGTTTGGGAGGAGTGAAAATTTGGAATGGCTGTGCAGTTTTATACTCTGAGGTAGTGATTCATTATTTTTGATCGTTTAGTCATACTCTGATAGGTTACGGTCATAGTGTGGTCTGGCTGTTTGATTATATAATATTTGCATTTCCATTGCATACAAAAAAGATCCCACGCACGAAGAACTTTTTTTCCAATCATATTCTAAGATGCCATTCATCAGTTAAGTATCCTTATACTCATACTAATAATATATTATTAGTTATAATTTAACTCTGTCGTAAACTGGAAATCGATGTTTGGTCGGAATAAATGTGGAAATGCTTACATAGTCGCGTGTGATCAAAATTCATGATCTGCGTCTCGTGTATCACAGATTTCTATGTAGTACTAGATAGCGAACTCCTATAATCAGTTGAATGCTGGTTGTCAGTTGGTATTATATGGTATTTTATGTTTTAATTATGGTGCCTTGTATTTTATTATTTCTAAACTTCTTGTTTGAAAATAAAAAAAAACATTTTACATAAATCATCTTTATCATTTTATTTAACCATTAAAAATGATGTTATTCCTATTACAATTTGTAAAATGAATGAAATGTTTTGCCAACCAACAAAATGGCAGCCAACTGCTACGCAAGCTTCACTGATAACAATTTAAATAATTTAGAAGTTCCTCATCTAGTGTAGTATTATAAGTCAGTGGCTAGTTTAATTCAAATACCTACTTTAAATAAAAATCATGTAGGTATACAATTTTAAAACAAACCATCGATGTTTCTAGCTGTTGCTTTTATACTATAAGCCAACGAAACTATTGGTTTTATTATGCAGTAAATTAACTTAAAAAGTTTCTCTCCGCAATTTTGTGTACATAAGAATTTGAACTTAACTAGAACGTATTAGCTTAATTTTCAATTTCTCAATTTTTGAAAATCAGAAAAAGCTTCAAGTCTATTATTTAAATGGATTCAAGTGGCTAACTAATTTTTTATTCAACCAAACGCCGTTACTCAAACCCGTTTTTTCGAATGCAATGATTTATAACTCATTTGATAAATGTAAGGTATACCTAAAACTATTGTTTTAATTCAATTGTAGTAATATTAAAACCATTGTAACCGTTAAACCGACCCTTAGTCATGTTTTTAGATAACGACGTACAAGTTTTGTCTTTTAGAGAGTGCTGCAGTAGTAAATACTATCTATAATACGATATTTGTTAATTTTCCAAGAGTGCTAACTTACATACGATATTATTGCTTTAATTGTTTACGTCCCATTTTACATATTTTATATTGTATATTAACATATGACGCAATATCCAGTGGCGTATTTATCGGCATAAAAAGTGTATAAAAAAAACTAATAAAAAACGTGTCTTTGCTGATCTTAACTCGTCTATCTATTTTTTCATTGCCGAAGTAATTTATGAAATAAATGGTCCAATTTGTTTTTGTGTTGCACTTATCTGAAACACGTATGGTGATTTTTTTTCGAAGATTGTGAGTGCGCGCCGTGACAAGTATCGTGTACCGTCATATGATCACGATTATATCTTCCGCTTTTCTAAGTAGGTTATACGTTATTGCAGACATGATGGTATATTAATATGTATACCATCCATACCGTAATGGGACGACAAAATGTTTATTTTTTCTATGATATTTACTAGTCTTATTTGGTTACTAGGTCGAACGGAAGGAGAATGTACTATAATAATAGTCATTAGTTGTTTTGTATTTTTTGGTACGTTCTTCTAATAATCACGAATGACTTAAGCAAAAAGTAGACTCGGTTAGTTGTCACAGGCCTAACTGTAGTTTTTTCATAAATTTATTGAGACGCATAGTTAGTATTATGTGTATAAATTGTAAACTCACAATACCTATATGAAAATGTAGATACACACAAATTAATATGATATTTTTTAGAATAATTTCCTGTTATCTATGATGGCTGCTCTGAAATTGTGACTTTTAATTACTGAATTACATTTCTTATTATGTGTGTTGATTAAATATTGTTAAATGTTAAAAGCAGTCCTAATTGTAGTAATAAATTGTTATTCTATAATATATGTATATATTTATATAATATGTTATCGCATATTTTTTTTTAAATTGTTCTATATTTGTATATTGGTAATTTGTTAAGTGTAGCAGTATGTACTGAGGA